TTGGTGCCTCCTTAAAAATGTACATGTGGTGAGCCAATCTGTCCCCATTTATGAATGACAGCTAAAGTTTTTTATACCTTTAAACATTAACAAAATCAGTTAATATCTTTTCTTAAAATTTTACAAGTCTTTTTCTATCTGGTTTTTCGCGATAAGTTGCGTGAACGCCTAAGTTAGTGTGCTTTGGGTCTGCATACACGTCGTTCTCCCGACAAATAATTACGCCTGATTTCACAGACCTAAAGTTAAACTCTAAAGCCCTGACCCCCGTACGTTTGAATGTACGCGTGCGCGTGAACAAATATTTACTGAAAAACCATGTTTATTAAAATAACTAATGCTTTATTCTGTCAAAGTTTTAAAATATGTTTTTGATGCTTGATGCTGCTTACTATAGTTCCTATACGGACCTACTCCTCGGAGTCAGCGACAGCATGTTCATGTTAAAGAGAATTATTTCTAGTTTAAAACTAGTGACATGGCGGCTTTTAACCATCCCCGCTTCTGGGTTAATGTCGTACGCTCATTTTAACAAGGATTACCGGCGTTATTCCTTGATTCTTGTTGTCGAAAATGTTTAGGGCACTTTATTATTCAAAATTTTACAAGTCTTTTTCTATCTGGTTTTTCGCGATAAGTTGCGTGAACGCCTAAGTTAGTGTGCTTTGGGTCTGCATACACGTCATTCTCCTGACAAATAATTACGCCTGATTTCACAGACCTGAAGTTAAACTCTAAAGCCCTGACCCCCGTACGTTTGAAACTCAGCATTTGCTCTTGTTTCGCTCGGGTATGCCTCTACTTAAATATTTTCTCTAGTTAAAAGTTTGGGACTTGTGTCGTTTGTTTAAAATACGGTGTTTCGCTCGGGCATGTTTGTACTTGTTTAAATTCTGCTATGTTTTATTATTCCTTAAAACTTAATTAAAAATAACACATTAATAAAATACATGTAATGTATTTTTATTCTATTAAAGTTTAAACGGCAACCATTAACACCCCCAAACCATATGTCCCTCCTATCGGCAACACGTGGCATAAGCATGTATGGTACCATTTGCCCAAACCCCCCCCCCCGACCAATCAGATCAAAGGATACGCCCACATCCGCTTATGATGTCATAGATGGGGGAGAGCTTTAAGCTCCGCCAAATGTACCAACTAACCTCTCTACTGTACTTCTAGCTGATGAACCACTTAAGCTGTGCAATGTTTTCATGAGGGTCACAAAGTGGTGTGTGTCTGTTACTCAAATTCTCAATATAATTAGCTTCATGGCAGTCCATTTGTAAGTACAATTTGTCTGTACATCAGACATTTGTAACCCTGGGACTGCTTGTAATTTTTTTTTATCTGCATACATTTCCTTAATGAAATGCAGTGCACCTAAAATTACAGCTAAGCAGAAACAAAGAAAAAGTTAATAAACTTACAAAATGACTTTGTTGGTATGTTACTTGTTACTTTATTATTCCATCCACCATTTTATCATCCTTCCATTCATCCATCTTAACCAGTACTTATCCAGTACATAGCTGAAGGAAGTTTGGTTATTACATAAAAAAATTAACAATTTTTAGTTAGAAGAAACATTTTTCACATTTGTTTTCAAAAACAAGTCATTCATCATGTTACTGAGGGACCACAATTATTTTTAGAAGCATGTTTTTACAAAGACAGTCATATACTTTCTAGCTATCTATTGTCTGAAATGATAAATGTTAAATTAGGGCTATGAATCGATTAAAAATAATACTAATTAATCACACAGTTTTAATCATGATTAAATTGCACCTAAGATTAAAACTTACAATCATAAATATTTATACACTGAATTCCCAAATTAATGTATAATTAACAGAAAGGGGAGTATATAGGTCATAGTCACAAACTCATTACTGTAAAATTAATTATCTGCGTCAGTGCACATGCGCAAGCTTCGGATCCCCCCCCCCCACCGTCGTTCATTTGACGCGCAAATTTTGAACAGGCCTGCAGCACACGGCCGAGCTGCGGGGCTAAAATGTTTGCTGGTTAAATGTTTTCTTCAACCTTTAAACATGTTTCTTCTTTTAAAAACTTGGTTAAAATATTTGTGCTTGTTTAAAACTCAGCATTTGCTCTTGTTTCGCTCGGGTATGCTTCTACTTAAATTTTGTCTCTAGTTAAAAGTTTGGGACTTGTGTCGTTTGTTTAAAATACGGTGTTTCGCTCGGGCATGTTTGTACTTTAAATTCCGCCTGCTTTTCTTTCTTTCTTTTTAAAAGTAATACTGAAGGTTTTCTTGCTTAAAACATTTTGGTGCTTTCTTCTTTTAAAATACGCCGGGGCGCTCGTGTCTACCTCGCAGGACGTGCATGCCCTAGCTTACGTTCATCCTGCTATGTTTTATTATTCCTTAAAACTTAATTAAAAATAACACATTAATAAAATACATGTATTTTTATTCTATTAAAGTTTAAACGGCAACCATTAACACCCCCAAACCATATGTCCCCCCTATCGGCAACACGTGGCATAAGCATGTATGGTACCATTTGGCCAAAACCCCCCTCCCCCCCGACCAATCAGATCAAAGGATACGCCCACATCCGCTTATGATGTCATAGATGGGGGGAGAGCTTTAAGCTCCGCCCAATGTATCAACTAACCTCTCTTACAGTATAGTATGTGTAGATCTTTTTATTATCACTGCATAATTGTTATAATTATTTACTGTATTATTCTTTTTCCGACTTACCTACAAATTCAACTTTAGACAGACTTAGGGAACATATCTTGTTTGTAACATGAGGACTGCCTGTATCACAAAAATCTATTTTATATAATCCCATTGTTATGAAGTAGTGCTAAGGCATTGTATGTTGGTGTTTCTACACAAAATACAAAAACCTATAGTGGCAAGAAAAACTTTTTATGTTGTCAGTTAAAACATATTGATTTTGTTTGTTATTGTACTTGGATGAAGATCAAGTTGCATTTTATGACAAATGAATGCAGAAAAACAAGGTGTTCCAAATGGTTCAGTTTTTCTTGACACTGTGAATAAAGTGATCTACTTTAAGATGCCATTTAGTCTTACCTTGATAGCAATGTTTATGAAAGTACACATTGACCATGGGTTAAATTTTAACCACAGGGCCAACAGAGAACCATGCAAGGTCTCTAACAATATCATTTAGATTTTTGCAGTATTTTTATTAAATTTTCTACACTATATACGTTTTCCTGCTGTATTTTAGAAAATGTTTCAAAATTGGGGGATGGTAAGCACTTTAGAAGTTATTTCTGGTGATCTTGATGGTTTGGTGGTGGCATCATATTTTGGCATTTATAACCAGAGATCGTCTGCCTTCCTGCCTTTGTTTGCAATTCCACAGTTATTAAATTATGGGATATTACACCTCATGTCTTAATGCTTATGTGTACAGGGGAGAAGGTTCCAGCAATCTCCTGGTGCTGCGTGAGATTCTGATCACATTTGCAGCTTTTCATCCAGGTATCCTACCAGTTTTCCTTTTATTTACACTATGCTTCTTCACCATTTAACATGCAGCTATGTTATTCCCCAGACTCTGAGAAATACATATATCTTCAGCACTGGTCCGCCACTGCAGATGCTATGCTTGTTCAGATGATTACTAATAAACTATTTGATGTTTTTCAAACTTTGCACAGGGATTGTATGGGTGAGAAATTGTAAATGACAAAATTTTGAGATGGTTCAGTCTAAAATTGAAGCAGGATAATATATATAAAGGGTTGTTTTGGTCCTTGATGCCATTAAGATAACTCAAAAAGTATTTGACAGTTCATTTTTGGGTGCCGAATTTGAAGTGATTAAATTTTGAGAGAGATCTCCCCAAAACTGAAGCAACACCACTTAGTGGCAGCAAAGGGAAGTAAGTAAATTTTATTTATAAAGCACATTTAAAACTCAGGTTTTCACTGACCAAAGTGCTCTATAATAATGATGATAGTAAAACAAATTGAAAAATACAATAATATATAAAAATAAATTAAAAAGAGAAATAGTAAAATTACTAAAAAAAAGAGACATATAACAGCAAATAACCAAAACATCACCCAGGGAACAAACAAATAACCAGGATAGGTAGTTGCAGGTTTAACAGCAATGTAAAATTTAGATGGCTGGGAAGGCCAGAGTAAAAAAAAAATTCTGTTTAGACTTAAAAACAGAGATGGAAGGAGAACATTTTAAGTCAAAAGGCAACTGATTCCATAGGCATGGGGCTGCAACGGCAAAGGCTCTGTCACCTTTTTGTTTAAAACGTGATCGGGGCACGTATAGGAGGGCTTTGTAGATCTGAGAGATATGGAGGTTGAGTTTAAATGAACGAGGTCAATGATATACAATGGGGCCTACCCATTAAGGGCCTTTAAAACCAGTAGTAAAACCTGGAACTGTACTCTAAAATTAACTGGAAACCATAGTAAAGAGGCAAGAACTGGAGTAATATGGTTTCCCTTCCTGGTACCAGTCAACAGACTTGCAGTTGCATTCTGGACCAACTGCAAATGTGATAGCAGGGATAGAGGGAGGGCAAGGTATAAGGAATTACAGTAGTTGAGGCGTGATGTAATCAAGGCATGGATAACTTTTTCCAGATCATGATATGACAGAAATTATTTGAGTTTAGCAATTATCCTTAGCTGATAGTAGATATTTTTAACAGAGCTGGTTTGTTTGTCAAGTTGAAGGTCTGAGTCTAAAATAACACCCAGATTCATCGCATGGGACTTGACATAAGGGGTGAGATGGCCTAACCTGCCAGCAAGAGTGATAGTGGATTGTGAGTACCAAAAATAACTTCAGTTTGATCACTTAAGTTGAGAAATGTATTTGCCATCCAGATTTTAATCTCCATTAGGCAGTCAAGGAAAAGCTGTATGGAATTGCTAGATTTTAGTGGGAGGTATAACTGGGAATTATCGGTGTAAAAATGGAAGGAGATTTTCTGATAATACCTATTGGCAGCATATACAGACAGAACATGACTGGCCCCAAGATAGACCCCTGAGGAACCCCGTAAGAGACAGGGGCAGGGAAGGAGTGGAACTGCTTTACAGAAAAAGTCCTATGGTTAAGATAGGAGCTGAACCAGTGTAAAGCAGTGCCATTAATGCCAACCAGGCCAAATGAATATTAAGCATATGATCAGAAAAGAGTGAAGGGTGAAAGTAGCAGAAATATTATATGGATAATGGTCTAACCTGATTTCATTTTCAAGCAAATTTCCCCAAAAATGAAGCAGCAGTGCTGTCTGGCAGTACAGGAATGAAATGGCAACTATAGAAAACACTTGGTCTTCTGAAAACAGTAACTAAAGTATTTTATGGATCTTTTTCTAACTTTACAACCACATTGTAAGAAGTAACTAGAACTAGAAGTAGGGCTGCACGATTTGGGGAAAATATCAAATCGCGATTTTTCTGACAGAAATTACGATTACGATTTGATTTGCGATTTAATTTTGTTATGTCAAGCTTCAGTTCAATATTCAGTGTGTAGTAATTTTAAAACATGATGCAGCATGAGATACCATCAGTATTAACTGGTCTATATTCTAATTCAAGGATGAGAAGTTAAAGATGTGATGTGTCGAGTTAAAGCAATAATTAAAACAATTGCAGCAAAAAGAAAAATAGCGATCTTGCAGGTAACGCTGATTACCCTCCTAATAACACTAGAACCGCCTTTTTCCCATGCCAATGAACAAGCAAGAACTACTTCGGTGTATGCAACCCTTTTGTTTGCGCTATTGTGTTGTTAGCTGCTGTTATTAACAGTAATAACCGTAATCTTCATAACAGAGTGGCTGTTCTGTCCTGAAACCTTAAAGCTGGAAATTTTTAAACGTAGTATGC